TAAGTAAGTAATATATATATATATATATATATATATATATATATATATATATATATATATATACACACACACACTCGTGTTTGTTTTATTTCGGATATGATTCTGTCAGTATTTATTAGATTAATACGTGTTACCGCTAACATGTGTGAAAAAAGGAAATGTCAAAATTATAGAAATGATAAGACCAATAAGATTCGTATTTTATCATTAGACGCTTGTGTATTTATGTATTATATTCATACCTTGTTGATTCGATTTGCCGTGCTTTCAACGAGACCGTCGAGTTGTAAGTTTTTCTTTTTTTATCGCGATTTTTTCTTTCCGGAGATGCTGTGTCCGAATTTTTGACTGTGCGAAAACATGGCTCTTTTGCCGCGCGAGGGATAAATGTGGCAGTGAGGATGAGACGAGAGCACAAGAATCAAGTGTAAACCTTCACCTGTCATCGGACGACGTTGCCCGTGTTACGCAATCGCGCAACAGATCAACCAGAATAAAGTTGCCAGTTTGAGATACGAAGTTTGAAGTCCTTTTTTTTTTATATTATTACCACGTTAGTAGATACGCAGAAGTGGTTTTGCTATTTACGTGGTCCGATACAGATCTGAAAATTTAGTTTGGACCGTCAAAATCATTTACGTTAAACATGATCAAACGATGATGCAAACATCTTTAATATTCCAACAATCAATTTGAATGTTCTCAACATAATGATTTTGATGACCCGACAAAATTATTTACAGACTTGCGTCTGGTCAAATTTTTTAAATTAGTATCCAATTACATTACCGCGAGTTTATTATTCTCGGGGCAACTTTGATGTTTCAAAGATCAGATATTTTGTGATTTTTACTTGGAGCTAAATTATTCAAGTTTTTTCTTTTCTTTTTTTTTTTTTGAGGTTGATAGTCGCCGTGGAATTCGTGGGAACCACGATCACATAACTTCAGCAAAACTATGCTTTTTATGTATAGGAAATTGCGCGTGTAGACGAGAAAATGGTTTTGCTGAGAGATTTAAAAATTTGGCCAGATACAGATTTGAAAAATAATTTTGTTTGGGCCATTTAATTATGTAGGACATTTAAATTGGTTGCTAAAATTTAAAAACATTTTGCAATACTTTCGTCACGCTTAAAAGCCCTATCTAATAATTTTGTTGGCCCAACAATATTATTTTTCAGATCTGTATCTGATCAAATTTTTAGATTCTTCAGTAAAACGCTTTCTGTGTAGGAAATATGATGTGTGTACACAAAAAAAAAAAAAACGATTTTGCTGAAGAAACTAAAAATTTAGCCGGATACAAATTTGAAAAATAATTTTGTTGGACCTTCAAACTAATTAGGTAGAACATTCAAATTGATTGCTAGAATATAAAAAATGTTCGCAGTATTCTCATGTTCATGTTTAAAAACTCTACATAATAACTTTAGTGACTCAACTATATCATTTTTCAAATTTGGTCAAATTTTTAGATCCTTCAGCAAAACTGTTTTTCTGTGTAGGAAATATGTGTGTGCACGTAAAAACGAGTTTCCTGAAGGATTTAAAAAATTTGGCCAGATACAGATCTGAAAAATAACTTTCGGCCATTAAACTAATCACGTAGAATTAGTTCAAATTGGTTGTCAAAATATAAACACATTTTGCAGTGTTATTGTCATACTTAAAACACCCGTAATAATTTTGATGGCCTAACAAAATTCTTTTTCGGATTTGTATCTAATCAAATTTTTAGATCCTTCAGGAAAATCGTTTTTACGTGTACACACATATTTCCTGCACAAACGGTTTTGCTGAAAGGATCTAAAAATTTGGCCAAATTTGGAAAAATAATATAGTTGAGCCATTAAAATTTTTAGATCCTTCAGCAGAAGGATCTGTTTGTTCCGTGTATGACACACTCCGCGCTCACTTCAATTAATATTCAATTACATTTATTATTCTCGGGGCAACTTCGACATTGAGGTTTCAAAGATCAGTATTGTGATTTTGACGGAGCTAAGTTGTTCAAGTTTTTTTCTTCTTTTTTTTTTTTTTTTCTTTTTGAGGTTGATGGTCGCCGTGGAATTCGTGGGAGCCACGATCACACAACTGTTTCGGCCGGCCGAAACGCGGAACAGGAAGACGGCCGACCAAATAAACTTGTCTTCGGCCCTTACGAGGCGCGTTTTTTTTCCTCCCCCTCCCCCCCCCCCGACGGATTGTCCAAATTGTCCGTTTTTTTACATCTACACGCGTGATCACACGCCGTAGCCGTCGTCGCCTCGTTCGCCCTGACCTTATTACAAGCAGACCGAGCATATGCAGACCCCGCTGGCAAAAAAGTCACCACTTCACGTCCGAAGACGCGCGGCTGCGTAAAGACGCCGATGGCAAACGCCTCGAGGACGACGCGTGTGCCTGCTGGCGGCTTCTGTAACGCGGGATTTTTTCACAATGCGCGATTCTCTGCGAAGTGGGGGAGGGGAGGGGGAGTGTTACGTGTGTCAGGGTCAGTATCGATATTCCCGCAGCGACGATGGCGGGCGATCTACTTTGCGTCCCGAGTGAGGATGTCTTCCCATACAGCACTAATGTTCGAAAAACATCCCGGAGATGTCCTAGAGATGCTCGAACATCTATGGACATCTCTGGAATGTTTTTTTTGAGCATTTGTGCTGCGTGCGGGTTAATTGAATCGGTTGATTAAATTTATGAATCAACGTATTCACGATAAAATTGCTAATATTAGTCGTGATGTATAATTTTTTAAGGAAGTCTTCTTGATAGTAATGGCTTTTCTGGCTTTAGATAACGCGAAAATCTCGCGCGTTATCTAAAAAGAGACGAAGTGAAACGCAGAAATTTCTTGTTGATAGCATTCGAGTAGCAACGTTATTTGTGAATTATAGGCAAGTTGTGTAAATTATAAATTTTCTCTTGTTGAAGGCAACGTACGTCCGATGAGCGGTACGAAAATTCACGCGACAAGGGGGCCACTGTTGAGGAAGCCTCGGCAAAAAAAGCTCCTTTGTGCCGTGGCTTGGAAGAGCAGAAGCTGCGGAAGAAGTCATGAAGACGCTGCGAAGAAGTCGAAGCTGACTCGTATTCATTTATTTAAAGTTCACGCGGAGCGTTACGTTTTCGCTCGATCGCGAATTAAAAAAATGTACAATTTGAATGAAGAGAGCAGAAAATGTAGAAATGTTTGTACCTTTTGGAAATAATTACATTTGAAAATGTATTTATTTTTTAAATAAAGCCTTGTGCCTCGTTGCGCCTTGATATCCGGTGCGATATCCGGAATTTCCCAATTGTTCCCGTCAAGCCGCAAAACGAGGAGCAGATGGAAGCATCTTAAAGATGATCGTCCGCTCCTCCTGTTTCTGATTGGAATCGCGCTGTTAATCGACACATCGAGGAGTCTGCGATCGCGCCTATCTAAGTATTCGTCTATCTAAGAAGATACGGAGCGTGAGAAAAGCAGAGGAGTGAGAGAGAAGGACGGAAGACTTGTCGTCGTACTACGCAACAGAGTGTGTCTCGCGCGCGGGAAGGAGGGAGGGTGAGGGCGAAGGGTAGAAGGAGAGGCCCGGGACCTGCGAGGGAGAGATGTGCGACAAAGGTGCGGATGACAAAACCGAAGTGCCGGCGTACCAAATGCTTCAATGCAAGCTGAGCGCTCGTCCGAGGCGCATCCGGGCGAGACTTCCTCCGGGACGATCGCTCGCACGGTTGTTCTCCGAAAGAGAAGTTTTGAAAGGGAAGTGGTGAAAAAGTCAGAGAGAGAGAGACACCGAAGAAAAATATCGCGAGGAAGGTCCTCTTTACTTCGCTCGTTGCTCGATCGGCGCGAAAATAACGCGAGTATAACAATCGCGGCAATCGATCGATGAGGGAAGATGGCACGTTACGTCGATCTCGCTGCGTCCTTTATTATCCTCCTCCTGATGGTCCACCTGGAGCAGCTGGTCCTGCACAAACGAGGTATCGTTCGTAGTCCGGATAACGATTAAATTCCCGATCAAACTCGCTAGAGTTTCAATCCGCCTGAAAGACCGCCCAAGATTGTTAAAGAACTTTGCCTATTATGCGAGAAATTCGTATTTAAATTATTAAAAAAAGAGGGAAAAAGAGAGTTTGATTTTTCTAATATTTTT